GATCAAGCCCACAACCCAGGCATGTGCCCTGATAGGTAATTGAACCATGACCTCATGGTCATAAGTCGACGCTAAACCACTGAGTCACATCAGCCAGACTCGTGCTTTTTTCTTATCTTCACCTCAGGATATGTTTATTGACTAGAAAGAGAGGAAGAGTGAGGGGGAGAAATAGGGAGAGAGAAACATCAATGTAAGAGAGAAACATTGATTGGTTGCCTCCTATATGTGCACCGACTTAGACTAGAACCATCAACCTTTTGGTGCACAGGATGACACTCCAACTCAGCCAGGGCTCCATGTGCTATTTGATATTTTTGTTGAAATATCTTTTCATGCCCCCTTTTGATTGATTTTATTTTAGTTCTGTTTTTACTATTGGGTTTTTAGACTTTTAAAAAATATATTTTAGATACTATCACTTTGTTTTTGTCCATATGTAGTTTGCAAATATTTTCTTCCAGTCTGTAATGTGTCCTTTTTTTCTCCTAAAGTCTTTTTCAGAATAAATAATTTTAATTTTCTTTTTTAAAAAATATATTTTATTGGTTTTTACAGAGAGGAAGGGAGAGAAATAGAGAGTTAGAAACATCGACGAGAGAGAATCACCGATCAGCTGCCTCTTGCACGTCTCCCACTGGGGATGTGCCTGCAGTCAAGGTACATGCCCTTGACCGGAATTGAACCCAGGACCCTTCAATTCCCAGGCCAACACTCTATCCGCTGAGCCAAACCAGTTTTGGCAATGTTTTTAATTTTCAAGAAGCCCAGTTGAGCCCAGCCTGTGTGGCTCAGATGGTTAAGTGTCTCCCACACCCCAGGAGGTCACTGGTTCAATTCCCAGTCAGGGCATATGCCCAGGTTGTGTGTTGGGTTCCCCGTAGGGACATGTAGGAGGCAGCCCATCGATGTTTATGTCATTCTCTCCCTTTCCTTCCTCTCTCTGAAATAAATTTAAAAGATAAAATTAGCCCTATTGATCAATTTCTCTTTTTATGGATCACTAGAGGCCTGGTGCAGGAAATTCTGCAAGGGGTGAGGGGATGTCCCTCAGCCCAGCCTGCACCCTCTCCAATCTGGGACCCCTCGAAGAATGTTAGACTCAGTGGGATCAGGTCTAAACGGGCAGTCAGACATCCCTCTCACAATCCAGGACTGCTGGCTCCCAACTGCTTGCCTGCCAGCCTGATCACCCCCTAACCACTCCCATGCCAGCCTGATTGATGTCTAACTGCTCCCCTGACAGTCTGTTTGCCTCCAACTTCCCTCCTCTGCCAGCCTGGCCACCCCTCTTTGCCCTCTCCTGCAGGGTTGATCTACTCCAACTGCCCTCTCCTGCTGGCCATCTTATGGTGTCCATCTTGTATCCACATAGGGGCAGGATCTTTGACCACATGGGGGAAGCCATCTTGTGTGTGGGAGTGATGGTCAATCTGCATATTACTCTTTTATTAGATAGGATAGAGGCCTGGTACACAGGTGGGGACCAGCTGGTTTGCCCTGAAGGGTGGCCCGGATCAGGGTGGGGGTTCCTTTGGGGTGTGAGGTGGCCTGGGCGAGGGGGCCTGTGGTGGTTTGCAGGTCAGGCATACCCCCTGGTGACCCAAGCAGAGGCCCTGGTATATGGAATTTATTTACCTTCTACAATTGAAACTTTGCAACCTGGAGCAGAGCCAAGCCCCTGCTCACTGCATGGCTGTTGCCATTTCTGTTTGGTTTTATGTATTTTCTATAATTGAAACTTTGTAGCCTGGAGTGGAGGCCTAGACCAGCTAGGACAGGTGGAAAGCTTTGCTTCCTCCATTGCCGGGGGCAACCCTAGCCTGCTCTTTCCAGTTCCGTGGCTGCCGCCATTTTTCTTGGGATTTACCTTCTATAATTGAAACTTTGTATCCTTGAGTGGAGGCCTAGGCTGGCTAGGGCAGGTGGAAAGCTTGGCTTCCTCTATTGCCTGGGAAACACAAGCCTGTCAACTGCTTTGTATGGCTGCAGCCATCTTGGTTGGGGTTAATTTGCATACTTGCTCTGATTGGCTAGTGGGCGTGGCTTGAGCAAAGTGCTGGTTAATTTGCATATTGCTCTTTTATTACGTAGGTTTGCTTTTGGTATCAAGTCTTAGAACTCTATCTCACCAGAGGTTTCTCATATCTTTTTCCTGAAAGTATTATAGTTTGATATTTTTACATTTAAGCTCAAGATACATTTTGAATAAATGTTTATTAAAGTTATGAGACTTAAGGTTTATTTTTATTGATGGATACCTCTTTGTTCCAGTACTATTTGTTGTAAAAGCTGTGTTGTTTCCTTTGGATTATTTTTGCCAACTACTGATCTTACTATCTCCATAGTTTTGCCTTATCCAGAATATCATATAGTTGGAATCATATAGTACATAGCCTTTTTAGGTTGGCTTCTTTTACTTAGTAATACCCATTTACTTAGTAATATCCAGTTTCTTTTCATGGCTTAATAACTCATTTCTTTTTAGATCTGAATAATATTTCATTGTCTATATATCCACTTACATGAAGACTTTTTGGTTGCTTCCAGATTTTGGCAGTTGTAGATAAGGCTTTTATAAACATCTGTGTTCAGCTTTTTAAAAACTCATTTGGGTAAATACCAAAGAGTATGATTTCTGGACTATATGGTAAAAGTATATTTAGTATTGTAAGAAACTACCAAACTGTCTTCCAAAGTGGCTGTACCACTTTGCATTCTCATCAGCAATGAATGAGAACTCTTTTTGGTCCATATCCTCACCAGCATTTCATGTTGTCAGTGTTTTAGATTTTGGCCATTCTATAGTAGGTATGTAGTAGTATCTCATTGCTGTTTTAATTTGCATTTCCCTAATGACATATAATGTGGAGCAACTTGTCATATGCTTATTTGCCATCTACATATCTTCAAGAAAATGAACAATCTGATTTTTATTTTTTTTATTTTTTAAAATATATTTTTATTGATTTTGTACAGAGAGGAAGGGAGAGAGATAGAGAGTTAGAAACATCGATGAGAGAGAGTCATCGATCAGCTGCCTCTTGTACACACCCTATTGGGGATATGCCCGCAACCGAGGTACATGCCCTTGACCGGAATCGAACCCGGGACCCTTAAGTCCCCAAGCCGACGCTCTATCCATTGAGCCAAACCGGTCTCGGCAACAATCTGATTTTTAAAATGGGCCTGATATTTTGCCCATTTTTAAAATCAGATTGTTCATTTTCTTTTTTAATATATTTTTATTGACTTAAGAGAAGAAGAGAGAGGAAGAAAGACAGACAGGAACATCAATGATGAGAGAGAATCACTGATTGATTCTCCTGTATACCCCACAGTGGGAATGGAGCCCATAACCTGGGCATGGGCCCTGATGGGGAATTGACCCATAACCTCCTGGTTCCTAGGTCGACGCTCAACCCCTAAGCCACGCCGGCTTGTTTGTTCATTTTCTATTGTTGAGTTTAAGTTCTTTATATACTTTGGATAATAATCCTTTATCAGGAATATTTTTTACAAATATTTTCTTAATACATGATTTCTCATTTTTTTGATGGATTCAGTTTTTAAAATAGATGTAAAGCTACCAGATTTTCTATTTCTTCTTGTATCCATTTTGGTAACTTTTGTGTTTCAAAGAACTTCTCTGTTTCAGGTAAGTTGTCAGGTTTACTGTCATAAAGTTACCTCTTTAATGCCTGTTATGTCTCCTGATTTATTTCTGATATTTCAATATGCGTTTTATCTTTATTTCTTGATTAGTCTAGTAGTTGAGGTTTATAAACTTTATTGTTTTCAAATAAGTAATATTTGGTTTTGTTTATTTTTCTAAATTATTTCCTGTTTCAGTGATTTATATGCTTTATTTTCTTTCTAATTATTTTGGATTAATTTGCTCTTTTTTTCCTAGCTTCTTAAGGTAGTCTTCAATCTTTGGTTTTGAACTTTTTTTCTTTTCTAATATAAGTACTTAAAGCTCTAATTTTCTCTTTAAGTACTGTTTTTAATATGTTTTTATTGATTTTAGAGAGAGGAAGGAGAAGGAAGAGAGGTAGAAACATCGATGAGAGAGAACATTCATTTGTTGCCTCTTATATGCCCCTTCAGGGATCAAGCCTGTGTCGTGGCCTTGTGCCCTGACCAGGAATTGAACTGTGTCCTCCTGGTTCATAGGTCGATGCTCAACCACTGAGCCACACTGGCTGGGCTTTAAAAACTGTTTTCAGTTTGTTACACAAATGTTGCATTTTCATTATCACTGAGTTTGAACTATTTTCTAACTTCTCTTTTTATTTCTTCCTCGACTCACAGGTTATTTAGAAATGTCTTGCTTAAACTTCCAAATATTTGAGATCTATTGTTATCAATTTCAAATTGAGTTTTATTGTGGACTGATATCAGTCCTTTGAAATAAATTGGTACTAGTTTAAGGCCCAGCATACATTGGTGAGCATTCTGGTTAGACTTAAAAATAATATTTATTCTGTAATTGTTAGGCGTAGTGTTCTGTAATGCCTTCAGCCAGCTTTTAAAGAAAAATTTTGTCCAGAATTTATTATTTCAAGGTTATTCTGATATGAGCTACTCTGCATTACCAATATTTTTTATATATTATTTCCTCATATTCTTTTTGAAAGCATTCTAATGGCAGTTATATTAAAATATAATAGGTTATATACAAGTTATAGTTTGTGTTATTTTTATATCTGGATAAATATGTATCTCTAGTACATGTGCTTTAAAGCAATTGTAAGATCTTTATATATACATGTTATATGATACTGCTTTTTCATTAATATGCATACTCTTTCTGGAAAAAGTTACTTTTTATGTTTTATTACATCAATTAGGGATGTGACAGAATATTAATTTGTATTATTAAGCAACAAATGATACAGAGCCTGATGTAATTCTTTACTGAATTTAATTAAAGATTTGTCTATTTCTTAAGGTATTCTGCCTGTTTCTTCTCTCCACAGTGGTCTCACATCTGAAACATGGCTACTGATTGGCTGGGCAGTATTGTGTCCATCAACTGTGGAGATAGCTTGGGTGTTTATCAGGGAAGAGTCTCAGCAGTTGATCAGGTCAGCCAGACCATTTCTCTCACTCGACCTTTCCACAATGGAGTGAAGTGCCTTGTGCCTGAAGTCACCTTCAGGTGAGTATCCTGACTGATTCTTTCAAATCTAATCTGGTGGTCTGAACCTAGGCCAGATTGCCAGTTTTCTCTCGTGTAGTGCTATTTTTTAATACAGCCTTGTCAGAAGTGAGATTTTGCAGTCCTGCTGCTGTTTCATTAAACTATCATAATTGGCTTTCAGCTAATGGTTCAGGGTTTGTGAAATCTTTTTCTTACCTCTACCAAGCAAGCAGTGTTATATTATTTAAATGGATGGGTCAAATTTAGAATCTTTCTGTTTCCTTTTATGGCTTCAGATTTTACTTCTCAGTTTTGTATCACTGTGTTTTCTTACTCTGAGGTTGTTACTGGTTTTCCCTTGTATAATTGCAGCTCTCTGTAGGTCTATATCATAATTTAGCTCCAGAAGCACAATGTGGCCAGTAGTTAAAGTTCTTAGCTAAAAGGATGTATTTTTCTTAGTGTTTTCTAGCATATCTGAAGTTCAGTTGTCTTCACATCCCTCTTTTTACCAGTGTGGCAAACTTAAATGTTATTAAAAAAAAAAAAAAAAAAAAGACTATCAGACAAGAGCTTTCTTAACTTTCTAAATAATACCCACACATAACCTTTTCTGTAGGTGCATCCAATCTTATTTCTTACCTCCTCTGAAGTCTCAATAGAAATATTTCCTTTGTGTTCAGGACTCACCTTATCATGTACTAGAGGCCCAGTGCATGAAATTCAGGCATGGGTGAAGGGTTGTCCCTCAGCCCAGCCTGCACCCTCTCTAATCTGGGACCCCACTCGCAATCTGGGACCACTGTCTCCTAACCACTCACCTGCCTGCCTGACAGATCGCTACTAACCACTAACCACTCTGCCTGCCGGCCTGCTCGCCCCCAACTGCCCCCACCCTGCCGGCCTGCTAGCCCCCAACTGGCCTCCCCTCCTAGTCTGATCGCCTTTAACCACCTCTGCCTCAGCCCTGCCACCATGGCTTTGTCCAGAAGATCTCCCAGAAAGTCTCCCGATCTAATTAGCATATTACTCTTTTATTAGTAGAGATGCTTTATATGCTGTCCTTTTCTATCATCTTTAAGACCCTGTCCATCTTTTGTGTGTCTTTAGTTTCAACTGTTATTCTATCTCTTTCCTCTTTAATATTCCCAGGCTTCCCCAGTAGTACACATTCTGCCCTCATCTGACATACAACTTGCATTTGCAACTATCATTTCCTTCTTTTTACACTCATAGTTCTTTTCAGAGCTAAGTAGTCTGTCTTCATTCCTTTTGTGGCCTCATTCTCTAGTCCAGTGGTTTCCAACATGGAGCACATGCCCCACAGGGGGGCAATTTTATTTTTAAGGAGGGCAATTCGAGAATGAGTTACTAACAGTCAAGTTTTTGCATTTCTTATAGTTCTAGGGGTCTAATATACAGTATATAAATATAGTAGAGGCCCGGTGCACGAAATTCATGCATGGAGGAGGGTTCCCCTCAGCTCAGCCTGCACCCTCTCCAATCCAGGATCCCTTGGTGGATGTCCAACTGCCAGTTTAGGCTACCGGCAGTCAGACATCCCTCTCACAACCCTGGACTGCTGGCTCCTAGTCACTGTCCTGTCTTCCTGCCTGGTCACCCCTAACTGCCTCTCCTCCCCACCTTGCCCCCTGCCAACCTGATTGCTTCTTACTGCCTCTGTGTGCAGGCATGATTGCCCCTAACTGCCCCCCCCCTTGCTGGCCTGGTCACCCCCAATTTCGTGCGCACACACACACACACACACACACATCTGCTGACTTGATTGCCCCTCATGACTCCCGCCAGCATGGTCACCCCACACAGTCTGCTGTTCAGTTGTTTGGTCGTCCCTCGCTAACCCCCCTGCTGCCCTGGTCGCCCCATGCAGTCTGCTATTCAGTTGTTGGGTCATCCCTCACTAACCTCTCTGCCAGCCTGGTTGTAGGCAGCCATCTTGTGAAGGTGAGAGAGTTAATTTGCATATTACCTCTTTTTTACATAGGATGAGTAGTAATAAACATTTATTTAATTTTTAATACTAAATACTAGAGTTATGTTTGCATATATCATGTCATTTATCCCTTTGAGAATATTTATAAACTGGCCATTGTTACTGGTGACTTCTCTGTTTGCCTATATCAAACCTTTAATTTAGACCCATTTTCTGAACTTCAGACATTTTGTCTTCTGGTCATTTTGAGGTGGATATACTTAATTCTTCAATTTAAGATTTTCAAAGCTGTCCTGACTGGTGTGGCTCAGTTGGTTGAGCATTGTCCCATGCACCAAAGGATCACCTGTTTGAATCCTGGTTAGGGCATATACCCGGGATTCAGGTTTGATCCCCAGTTAGGGTATGTGAGGGAGGCAACTAATTGATGTTTCTCACATTGATGTTCCTCTCTCTATTTCTCTCTCTCTCTCTCTCTCTCTCTCTCTCTCTCTCTCTCTCTCCTTTCTCTCTCTCTCAAATCAATAAGAATATTTTTTTAGAAAAAAAATTCGAAGCTGGATTTGTTACTGCAGATTCCTCCTCAGCCCCCAAGATCTACCCTTAATGACACCTTCTACTCAAGTTAGAAACTTCAGTACCATAATAAATTACTATTTCTCTTTGATGTTCCTGTCACCAAATCCTGTGAATTTCAAATGTCTCATGGTTCTATTTTTCCTCTCTTTTCATTGTCACTTCCCCTATTTATCCCCTCCTACTTCTTGCCTGGTTTCCTAACTCTGGTTTCTTCACCTACAGCCACTAGAAAAATCCATGACTGGCTCCTGATTGATTACCTTCACAGGCCTTGCCTCCTCATGGCCCTCTATAAACACCCTTCCTTTTAGTCACACCATAGCATTTGCAGTTCATCAAATGGGCCACATTTTCTTAGCCTCTGAGCCTTGGCTTTAAATGCCTCTCTTGCTTGGACAACTCTTATTTTCCGTACCCACCCAGACCTAGCATACGTGTTTCATCGATCTCTGCCAAACAAATGTCTGTATTTTCCTTTTAGTTTCTCTAGTCTCTTACGCACACTTATGTCATAGTATTTAACACTTTTGATTATCTGCTTGTCTTTTCTGCTGACTAGACTGTGAGTTCTTTGTAGGCATTTATTGCTTTTCATCTCTATATACCCCATTTCCAGTGCAGGGCTTACCATATATTAAGTACTATGTATATGCCTTCTGAAGGAGCAAGTGAGTAAATGAATGAAAAAAAGTTATTAAACATTCTGGAAATCTAAGATACTAATAATAGTTTTATGATTAACAATAGGGTTCTTTAAAGACCAGTGCTGAGTCTATTGAATGTTGGCGGCTGTCTTGTCTTTAAGTGATCTACCACCTTTTCTACTTTTTGTCTTTGATAACTCATTGAAATGCAGCCTTGCAAAGGTATAGCTCAAGCATGTCAAACTTGGGGCCCACCGGCCACAAGATTGACATGGTTGGTTGCTATTGATTTCAGTTTCATCACTGTTACCACTATTGTAGTTTTAAGAGTTGGATTCTTTTGTGCATTTCAGGGCAGGTGACATTATGGAATTAAGAATTCTGGAGATACCAGGTCCTGGAGAAAACCAACATTTTGGAGACCTTCATCAAACAGAATTAGGCCCTTCTGGTATTGGGTACCAAGTGGGTATCAATCAGAATGGCACGGGCAGGTTGGTCAAGAAGCCAACCTCTTCCAGCAGTGCCCCTCAAAACATCCCTAAGAGGACAGATGTGAAGAGCCAGGATGCTGCCGTTTCCCCACAGCAGCAGCAGTGTTCCAAGAGCTATGTGGACAGGCACATGGAGCCTTTGAGTCAGTCCAAAAGTTTCCGTCGCCGGCACAACTCTTGTAAGTTGGAGCAAGTTGATATTTCTTCTTAACCTGATATTTGAGGGCAGTAAGTTCTTTTCTACTGCTATTCTTTAAACAAATCCTTTATTACCCTAATACAAAAGGATGCTGGCAGAGCTTCACAAAAATATAGCACAGTTCTCTTATTCTAGAGCTATAAGATATTAAAGAAAAAGAAATAAGCTGTTAGATGATTTGCCAGTGTTGCTCAGTGGTTGAGTGTGTATCTAAGAAGCAGGTCAGGGTTTGATTCCCAGCAGGGGATGTGCAGGGATTCTCTTCATTAATGTTTCTATCCCTTCCCTCTGAATCACTTTTTTTAAAAAGAAAAGAAAAGAAATATACTGTTAGAGACTCATCCCAAAGGTAAGAGACCCTCTTTTTTTATAGCTGCACTAGAGACTTGGTGCATGGATTCATGCGTTGGTGGGTTCCCTCAGCCTGGCCTGAGCCCTCTTGCAATCCAGTATCCCTTGGGTGATGTCAAACTGCTGGTTTCGGCCAGGCCTGCGGAGATCAGGTAGAAACTGGCAGTCTAACATCCCTCGAGGGATGTAGTAGTGTGTGAAACAGCAGGCGGACAGGGAAGAGCCTGATCCTGAGCTGGACACCATGCCACTCCTGCTCATCCTGGCCCCACTGTGCTTGCTGCCGCCGCCACCACTTGATAGTGTTGCTGCAGAGGTGGGAGAGGCTCGCGTCACTGTAGCTACACTTGCTAGCCGTGAGCCCAGTGCCTGGTGTCCGGCAGCCAGCTGAGCGGTGCTCCCACTGCAGGTGCTCGCACTGACCACCAGGGAGCTACTCCTGCATTGAGCATCTGCCCCCTGGTGGTCACTGTGTGTCAATCAGTCATTCAGTTGCTTAGGCTTTTATATATAGAAGTTGGCCTCGGACACCGCAGCTGCTTTCCCTCCCTAGAAGCTCTGCAAGGAAGAAATGATATAAAAGCAGCCACCAAATGGCTCCCAACAACTGGTGCGAACGTCAGTGGTACGGATCCTAATCCTGGGCCAGCAAGGACATCTCACTTCCCGCCTGGCGGGCTGATCGTGTCCCAACCCCCGCTCTCATCCCACTCAGGACAGGTGCCAGACTGGGTGCAGTGGGGCTGGGGTGAGCAGGAGTGGCAGTAGTGTTGGACTGTCTTTTTGGCCCAATTCCCACAGGACACACTGAGTGACCCCACCCATGCATGAATTCATGCACTGCACCTCTAGTTCTAAACCTAGAGGTGCATATATTCTTTTTGATTGATGTTTTGGGATTTTTTAGGATATATTCCCAGAAGTGGGATCGCTGGGTCAAATGGACATTTCCATTTTTAATTTTTTCAGAAAACTATATACGGTTTTCCATAGTGGCTGCACCAGTCTGCATTCCCACCAGGAGTGCACTTGCGTTGCCTTCCCCCCACATCCTTACCAGTGAGGATGCTTGTTGATTTTTTTGATGATAGCTATTCTGACTGATGTGAAGTGTTATCTCATTTTTGATGATAGCTATTCTGACTGATGTGAAGTGTTATCTCATTTTTGATGATAGCTATTCTGACTGTTGTGAAGTGTTATCTCATTGTGGTTTTAATTTGCATTTCTCTTACGATTAGTGACTGAGTATTTTTTTCATATGTTTCCTGGCCATTTATATGTCGTTCCTCTTTGGCAAAATGTCTATTCAGGTCTTCTGTGAAATTTTTTTTTTTTTTTTAATCCTCACCCAAGGTTATTTTTTTTTCCTTTTTTTTTTTTTTACAGAGAGAAAGGGAGAGGGATAGAGAGTTAGAAACATCAATGAGAAACATTGATCACCTGCCTCCTGCACACCTCCTACGGGGGATCTACCCGCAACCAAGGTACATGCCCTTGACTGGAGCTGTGACCCTTCAGTCCTCAGGCTGACGCTTATCCACTGAGCCAAACCAGATAGTGCCCAAGGTTATTTTTCCATTGAGTTTCAGAGAGAGGGAAGAGAGGAAAAGACAGAGAGAAATATTGATGTGAGAGAAACACATCAATTGGTTGCCTCCTGCACACATCCCAACCAGAGCCTGGGCCTGAGAAGAGCCTGCAACCAAGGTACGTGCTCTTGACTGGAATTGAACCCCAGACCCTTCAGTTCACAGACTTACGCTCTATCCACTGAGCCAAACCTGCTAGAGCTGTTCTGCCCATTTTGTAATTGGATTGTTGTCTTCCTTGTTGAGTTGTATGAGTGTTTTTTATATTTTGAAAAAAATTTTAGCATTATTTAAGTAATTATGTCTTTTTTACCTTAGTCCAGACAAAAATCTTTTTTTAAAATTATTTTTATTGATTTCAGAGAGGAAGGGAGAGGGAGAGGTAGAAACATCAATGATGAGAGAGAATCACTGATTGGCTGCCTCCTGCACATCCCATACCAGGGATCGAGCCTGCAACCCGGGCATGTGCCCTAACTGGAAAGAAATCAAAGCATGGCCTTCTGGTTCATAAGTCAATGCTCAACCACAGAGCCACGCCAGCTGGATCACAATAAATCTTGATTTTCAAGATCATCTCCTTAGCCACACAAAATAATGGAATACATCTCATGTTTGTCACACATATGCCCACTTTCTATTTTGCTAAGAAAGTGGTGTTTGATCATGTAACAATTTCTTTCCCACAGAGGAATGCCACAACTGCCACCAGGAGAACAGCTGCAGACCAGTAGCTGTGGAAAGCTTTTTATATTTTGGATATTAACTTTACCAGATATATCATTGGCAAAAATGTTCTCCCATTCAGTTGGTTCATTTTGATGGTGGTTTCTTTTGCTGTGCAGAAGCTTTTTATTTTGAAGTAATCCTATTTATTTTCTCTTTTATTTCCTTTATCCTAGGAGATGTATTGGCAAAAATTCTGCTATGTGAGATATCTGAGATTTTACTGCCTATGTTTTAAGATTTTTATGGTTTCTTGGCTTACATTTAAGTCTTTTATCCATTTTGAGTTTATTCTTGTGTATGGTATAAGTTGGTGGTCTAGTTTCATCTTTTTGCATGTGTCTGTACAGTTTTCCCAGCACCATTTGTTGAAGAAGCTTTACTCCATTGTATGTTCTTGCCTCTTTTATCAAATATTAATGGACCATATGGTTTGGATCAATTTCTGAGGTTTCTGTTCTGATCCATTGGTCTATATGCCTGTTCTTGTGCCAGTACCAGCCTGTTTTGGTTATAATGGGTTCATAGTATAGTTTGATAATCTGGTATTCTGATCCAACTTCATTCTTTCTTATGATTTCTTTTATGATTCCATATAAATTTTTGGAGTATTCTAATTCTGTGAAGTATGCCATAGGTACTTTAATAGGGATTGGGTTGAATCTATAGATTACTTTGGGTAGTATAGACATTTTAATGATTTTAATTCTTCTAATTCATGATCATAGTATACATTTTTATTTTTTTGTATCTTACTGTATTTCTTTTTTTCAATGTATTATAGTTTTCCAAATATAGGTCTTTTACCTCCTTGGTTAAGTTTATTCTTAGGTATTTTATTTTTTGTTGTTGCAATGGTAAATGGGATTGTTTAGTTTCTCCTTTGGAGAGTTCATTATTGGTGTATAAAAATGCCATTGATTTCTGGCTGTTGGTTTTGTATCCTGATACCTTGCCGTATTCATTTATTAAGTATAGTAGTTTCCTGGTGGAGTCTTTAGGGTTTTCTACGTGTAATACCATGTCATCTGTGAACACTGAGAGTTTTACTTCCTCCTTTCTAATTTGGATGCCTTTTATCTCTTCTTGTCCTATTGCTGTGGCTATGACATTTAGAATTTAACCTTCATTACTTTGCTTTATTTTCTCTTTAAAAATAGACTTCTTTCTTTACCAAAATGTTTACTTTTTTTGGTGTGTTTCTTTTAAATAAGCCTTTATTGTTGAAAATATTACGTACGTTCCTCTTTTTCCCCCCTTGATTCCCTCCAGCTCGTCCCCATATTTTTTTGTTAAAAGTTTAAATACTGAAGCAATTTATAACCTTATATACTTGGAGATCATCTTTATTAACCATTTATATATTTTTCTACATATTTTCTTCCTGTCATTTACATCTTACATTAACATGGTACATTTGTTACAATTAACGAGCCAGTGTTGATACATTATTGTTAATTAAAGTTTATATTATTCAAACTGCTTTAGTTTTTGTTGTTGTTAGTGTTATTTTGTTAATCCTCACCTGAGGATATTTTTTACATTGCTTTTTTTAAAGAGAGTGGAAGGGAGGGAGGAACACAGAGAAAGAGAGAGACATCGATGTGAGAGAGATACATTGGTTGCATCCCACACATGCCCCCAGTGGTGCTCTAACCATTGAGCACATTGGCCAAGTTACCTTAGTTTTTGTTTGTTTGTTTTAATATCCTTGTTACATGTTCCTAATCAGCATACCACATTACATTTAGTGGCCATGTCTCCTCTTGGCTCTGATGGTTTCTCAGATTTTTGTTGTTTTTTATGAATTAGTTTTGATAAGTACTGGTCAGATATTTTGTAGAATATCCCTCAATTGGTATATGATGTTTTTCTCACTATTAGACTGGTGTTTTGGGGAGGAAGACCACAGAGATAATGTCATTTTCATTAACATCATATCAAGGGTATCTACTATCAAAATGGTTTATGACTTTTGATGTTGACCTTGATTGCCTGGCTGAGGTAATTTGTGTCAGATTTCTTCTATAAAGTGACTTCTTTCCCCCCCTTTACAAACTGTGCTCTCTGTAAGGAAGCCACTCTGTGCAGCCCATACCCAAAGAACAGGAGTTATGCAGAGTATCTACATAAAATTTTTTGAATTCTTCTGCACCAGAGATTTCTTCCCTATTTATTCAGTCATCTCTTTATTATTATTATTATTATTTTTATCAATATGGACTTGATGCAATACTGCTTTATTTTAGTGCTCATCATTTTAGCTGTGGCCACTGGGAAACAAATAACCACAACAAACTGATTTTTTACC